ACATTGTGTTTTTACTTCACTTAAAAAATAGTGTCGGGTGAACTCAGACTTTATTGGCTATGTGTATATGTATGCTCATACATAGACATTTCACATAAATCAATTAGCCTACATATTTACATACATATGTTGCATGTAAACGGATATACAAACATTATGCGCGTTATAGTTCCTATAATTCCTCCCTTCCGTAATTACCACCCGCATCAAACCAAATTTGTCAAAAGTTATGCCCGTAGTTGCAACGCAGATATCAGTTGTTCTCTTTTGTTTTCACTTCACCAATGTTGCCATTGTCCTATTTGTATACACAATTTTTCACACATTTAGTTTTTTAGTTATAATTTTTCATAACGTAAAAGCTCAAAACTAAAATCTAACTATTAAAAATGGTCGACATATTTATAAATAAATGAAATATTTTAAGAATATTTCAAATAGATTCAAGTTTATTTTTTAATTACTACAAAATATCGAGACCGACAACTCTGTGTTGCAAGAGATTGCTCTTTCACTCACTCGCTTCTACGCGAAAAATCCAATTTTCGCGTAATTTCTAGTAATGTTATGGTAACATAGCTATGCAAATTAGAGTGACAAGATAAAAATTAATACAGGATGGCTCACGAATCGTCAACAAAAACAAACTGTAATACCTTTTTTTCTGTGTGAGTAATCAACTTTATTTTTTTTAATTGGTAGAATATTGTTTAAGTTATTTAAAAATTAATGCTTGGGAAATCGAAAAGAGGGTTTGGATAATGCAGCGGTGCCATGCTTTGCAGCATAATAATATACGAGAAATTCACCCCGAACGAGTCACTGTGACATGCGCAGTTTCATCAAGGGGCCATACTTTTGTGAAGAAAACAGTGTAGCAATAACTGTCAATGCGCACCGTTATTAATATTATTTAATTAGTCTTTTACCCAGAACTGCGTCGAAATCGCTTTCAATAGCGTTGGTTCCAGCAAGATGGAGCAACTGCACACATAGCCAGACCGGTTATTGCGGAGCTCCAACGAAAATTTGAAAACATATTAATATCAAGAAACTCCACTTTCTGAGGACCCATAAGGTCAGCTGATCTGACAGCCCCAGAGTTTTTTTGTGGGGTTATGTAAAGCAATAGGTGCACAAAACAAAACCCAGAAATCTGACTTAAATGAACCAACCCTTCAGGCCGCAATGCATAATTTTCTAATTAGGTGTCGCATATGCGTGGCTGAGCATGGAGGTCGTTGGCGGTCCATAATTTTAAAAAAGAATTATTTGTATATAATAAAATTTGCTATACAATAAAAACAAAAGTATAAAGCATTGATTAAAAAAGTTATTACGGTTTGTTTTTGTAGCACGATTCGTGAGCTACCCTGTAGAAATTATTTGAAATATGTACAATGTTTTGAATCACGAAGAGCAGGGTAAATATGTATGAATAAATTTAGTCGAAGTTGTAATACAATGTCGATGTTAAAATATTTTATAATTATATCTGGAGTTGTATATCTAGTATTAATTGCTGGAAGTGTAAACTCGGAAAATAACCCACAAAATTTAGGCCATTATTTAATTGATGATAATTTTTCGTATCCCGAGAATGTTATATTTCAGGACGATGCAAAACTGTAGGTGATTTACCTCTCAGTCAAGAAACGATAAACAATGTTATCAAGGCAACAATTCTTAGGGGAAATTTTGAAGGTGAAGACCTACTGTTGCCACGTATCCTAATAATCCCGAACGATATGTCCATTCGAATTCAAACGTTTTCAGTTTAAATATCGAATGGAAACGAAATGCTGCGATGTTTTCGAAATGAAGAAAATCAATAAAATGACTACAAATGAATTAAATATTTGTGCAATGACTTTCCTTCAAATACATATATATTAGTTCGTGGCGTAGCAACGCGCCCAGGGTACAGCTAGTAATTATATAAAGATAATCCAGGTTTTAAACTTGCAATATTTTTTGCTTGTTTTGTTTTTAGTTATTTCTCTCGAAACTGCCTTTTTCAAAACGATACCCACGATTTCTCAGGTTCTACTTCACCAATTTACCTGAAATTTTTGGAGAGTCTTCGGTATTTTCTTGTCTATGGCTGGGACTATCCAAAATGTGGTACAAAAGAGTTTTTAGGGGCAACACTTTCCCTATTCTCATACATCTAATATTATGTAAGGAATTTCGTATTTTCGGTTGTCTCTACATCGCATATGTATATCGGTCAATCTGTGAGATATCTTGATAAAATTAAATGAACCTATTATTTTGGATATATTTTAGTATGTTGACGAAAATAGTTTTTTCCAGTTGTCTTTTTGTCGAATATATCGATAGTTGTTTAAATTATCTTCATAAAGTTATCTAGAAACATTTTTTAACGCAAATACAAGCTTTATGTCCACGCTAAATCCTCCGGTGATTGTGAGGGATTTTTGATTTTCAAGGCCTGAATCGCGGCACTCGTTAACGAGCAAGTAATCGTATTGAGTGGAATTTCGTAATTGTCACATAGTCGGATCGTCGCACTCGATACGAAACGAATAGGAATTTTATTTAATAACTTTCCTTTTGTTGGTCTAAATGACATTTACTAATAACATGCAATGCTTAAACAAAAATAAAACAAATAAGTAAGGAAGGGCTAAGTTCGGATGTAACCGAACATTTTATACTCTCGTAAAGTCAAATGGTATACTCGTTGGAGATTTTTTTGTGGATTAACTAATATTTTCGGTAGAAGCTCAACTGTGGGCACTCGGTCCACATATTTAGTACTTAGGGGCTTGAACAGTTTTGGTTCGATTTAGACCATTTTTGGTAATAACATGGCAAACTTTATGCGCATTATTCTCGCAAAGCTTTACCCCGATATAATCATTGTTGCTTGATATGCATATTGGAAAGTAAAAGAATCAGATGGAATTGAAAATGCTGTTATATGGGAGATAGGCGTGGTTGTAGTCTAATTTTGAACGCGGTTCCTATAAAGTGATCTCATACCATCCCAGAGATAAAATTTAATGTATCTGGCGTGTTTAGTGTTTGGTTTATCGCTCTTTTAGTATATTTTAACAGTACCGTTATATGGGGGCTTGTCACCCGATTCACACCGTCAATAGAGGTGCTAAAAACATTTGCTCCCAGTGAATTTGGTTATTATAGCTTTATCGGCTTAGGAGATATGCACATTAAACTTATTAGGGGCGGGACCACTCCCACGTATTAAAAAAAAAGGCAGATGGCCCTCCCTAATGTGATCCTGTGTACCAGATAACAGTCTTGTATCTTATTGCGGAGCTTAGTTATGGCAATTTATTTGTTTTTGATTAATGGCGTTTTGTGGGCGTGGCAGTGGTTCCATTACGAACATCTGCAATACAACCCGTCTTACGGTACCAAGAAACATGTGTACTAAGTTTCATGAAGATATCTCAATTTTTACTCAAGTTACAGCTTGCACGGACGGACGGACAGACAGTCACCCAGATTTCAACTCGTCTCTTCATCATGATCATTTATATATAAATTATAGTTTTAGGTGATACAAACAACCGTTAGGTGAACAAAACTATTATACTCTGTAGCAACAAGTTGCGAGAGTATAAAAAGTAATTGTGGAATTGAACGTAAAGATTCAAATTTTTTATACGTTTATATAGAAATGTATTAAATTTAGTTTTTGCAGGCACTAATCTGAACCCTATCGTGTTTTTTAATAAATACATACATCGGATGAGGACCGTCACCAAATAGCCACAAGATGCAGGCTTCGTGATAAAAGCAATCGTATGGCTTCAGTTGAAGCAGCGTAAATAAATGTCTAATCGATTACAAACACAGGAAGCGGTTAAGACTGACCAAAGACGCATTTACTTGCATGCTATCGGAATTAAAATTAAAAATGCATATATCAATCGCAGTACCACCAAAACTTCAACTAGCAGCGACTTTGTGTCTTTTAGCAAGTAGAGTTATAAGCCCATTAAGCACCTTTAAATTAGCAAAAAAATACAGTATGCTAAGGACATAAGAAAGTAAGTGTCCACCAAATTTCGTGAAAGAACAAAAAAAATGTTGTACAAAATTAAAATAAAACACCTAAAAAATTTGTTATTTGAATTTTTACGATAAAGTGTGAGGTTATGTGTCTATATACAAGAGTTTTAGATCTTTTTATTACCTAAAACATTGCCATATAACGTTTTTTATAAGACTCGTATTTTTGCCAGAAATCGAGATAAATCATTTTTAACTCTTAAAAATTCAACCACGCCCCTCCCCTTCCTACTCATTTATTTATTTATATATTTCCATGTGTATATCAAGCATTGAATTTTAGGTATAGAATCGAAATATGGTGGAGCCGCTCACGTTTCTTTTGTATGGAAACATTCTGCGTAGAGGAGATTTTTGGAGGAAGCATACCTACAATTAACACTAGAACTACGAACCGGTCAAAATAACCGGATGCATCATTTATTTATAACATTTCCTCTTTAATGTTTTTCGATGTTATGATTTTTATTAAATTTTTGTATAAAATAATATTATAGATTATTTTGTTTTTACGCTTCTAATCTTCAGAGAGAGAGAGAGACCTATTTGAAATAGATATATGGTAAATCTTTGTAGTTCTAGTGTTAAAATAATTTAAAACATGTCAGGCTTTTGGGTAATATAATATATGCACTTATACAGCTACGTGAATGTATTTATAGACATATCTACTTTTTTTCAATAATTGGGAGATTCTGAATATTCTTTGGAGCCAGTGTTTGACACCATTTAGAAATCCTGTAGATGACTCGAGCCAAGCGCGGTTTAATGACATCCATACAAAAGCGAATTTTGTAAATAAAAGCAATTATATAGAAATTTATACGGGAAATGAGATCTAATTAACTAAAATTTGTCATAAAATTAGAAATAGAACATGATTATTTAGATAATAGATAAATTTGATAATAATGAAACGTTCCAAAAACATTTGAATTCACATTTTATTTCAATAAATATATTTCCTATGAAAAAAGAAAATGGTAATAAAATTTAATCAACATATCGTAAATATTTGCATTTATTTATGAATCCTTCTCTTTAAAGCTTGATTTAGGATTCAACTCTTGACAGCCCTTCTACCGCAACATCTATCGTATAGCCGTAGTTCAGATGAGTTACTCTTCTGCTACAGTTAGGAGTTTTCGTACGATCCACCGCCAGTCCTTTGCTTTGAAGCTTTGTTAAATGATATTATTTTTGTATATTATGCTTTAGATCAGGTAAAATATGTTTGGCAAGGTCTTGATGCTGTAGCATAAAATCAATCTTCAATTTTTTTGCCGCATATTAATTTGGTTAACTTTTCTCCTTAAATCATTAGTTATAATTATAATATATGTTAAATAGAACCAATAAAAGAAAAATTACATACAGTTTGCCTCCGATTATTTGTAATAGATTTTTTTTATACTTCTAACAATTAGCTAACGAGTGACATTTCGCTTTCTTCGTACGAACGAGTACTCGCTATCGAATGACGGAATTACAAATTTCTAAAGTTTATACAAGTATTTGTATTTTGTATATATTTCCGAAAACAAAAAAGACACAAGAATTTTGCTCGATAACGAGGGCCACGATTTGGGCCCAGATTGACTTCATACCACATATAGTGATAAATGGATGTAATACTTTAGTGAAATTAATTAGAATTTTTTTTTTAACCATACAGTCATTTAGGCACTAAAAGTAAATAAAATCGGAGCTATGGCGTGAGCACCCCTGGTCTAGACTTTGCTCTAGCTCCCATACTATGATTTGCCCATGCCTGAAAATAAAACACAACAAGTTAGGAAGGGCTAAATTCGGGTGTAACCAAACATTTTATACTCTTGCAACTTGCAAAGACCAAAGCAGAGGAAAAACATTTCGGTTTCGGGTTACAATCATAGATTCACCTGGTTATTTTGCTATATTTGGCTTCGCGTCAACGAAAATTATATTAAAATCATTTTTAAATCAAATATATCTTACATAAATTCAATGAAGTGGCTATATTTAATATATTGAGTTGGGATATATTAGGATTATGGGGTTTAGACCAAGGATAAGAGCATTCATATTCAGCGCTAAACCACAAAATTTTTAGGAAACTTGTCCACTTAATTTCAGTAAAATATCATACATTTTGACCAACCTAAACCGTTTAAAGTCAGCTGGAAAGTCGGAAATCACTATATAGGGTATATCCAATATTAATATTCAGTTATTTTGCTATGATATCTTACATATTGGCCGATATATACGGTATAAAGCCAACCGGATGTTTTTACAGCCAACCCATTTACAGTAACAAGTTCCATGAAGATATCTTAATGTTTACTCAAGTTACAGTTGCACGGACGGTCAGACAGTCACCCGGATTTCAACACGTCTTGTCACCCTGATCGTTTATATATATGTATACCTATATCCCTATATCTATATCGATTAGTTTTATGTGATACAAACAACTGTTAGGTGAACAAAACTATTATACACTCTAGCAACATGTTGCAGGAGTATAAAAATATTCGGATGATATTGACAACCGATTGACCTCAAACTCTCCCTCTTCCGTTTGCATTTTGTGGTGCACAAAGTTCTTCATGCGGAAGCAATATTGAAATACGTTAGACATTGGAAATGAAAATTGAAAATGTTTCATTCTAAGTTTTAACTATTAATATATACTTACAACTTCTCTACTTGTGTCCATATAGCCTATATGTGCTATAAACATTTTGCCTTCAAAATTTAATTTTCGAATTTCGTTCCAGCGGAAATGTTGAGTACGTTTGCCAGAAATAAATGCGCTTATGCCAGAATAATTTATTCCAATATACATTTGGACACCCTGATGATCTTTTACGTAATGAGGTTCTATACCATATGTTTCCAAGTTGCGAGATATTCTTAAGAACTCATCTATTACAGTAATGGGATCTTGGCCAGGAGTTCGTTCGCTGTGCTTCTTAATAATTTTTTTTTCAATTGCATCTGTTTGCCTAGCAGATAGCCGAAGGTTTGATATGTAGTCACCAGTGTGTATATTTTCATCGTAGTCTGAAAATTGTTCTGCAAATGTATGTACAAAGTAAACTACAAGTATTTACACATAACTAATGAAATGATTGTACCTTGTACAATTAGAGCTCCCAAAGTTACTATCTCGTTACTTGAACAATAAATACGTCCATGGTTGAGATCACGCTTCAATTGCTTATACAACAAAACCCTGACATTTAAACTCAAATGAAACGGATCCGCTGGATAAAATTTTACGCGAAATGAGAATATTAATTGATGTATATCTGAAGTAAAAGTATAAAATTATCATATAATGTGTACGTGTAAGTATATTAGTAAAGCATATGTGTTTTAAAAAAGAATTTACCTTTGCATTGTTTCACTATAAGTTTTCCTAAATCCAACCATTGCTGCAAAGTAAATAATTTTTTTAAAATTATTTTATCAGCTTAATCTTTTCTGCATACTCTTTGTTTGGTATTATCCACAAAACGTAGCCCAAAATAATCCTTTTCTTTTATCTCCAGCCGTTGGCACAGTCGGTCCATAAGATAATTTCCTTTGTGAGTTTCCTGAGAGAAATAAAAAAACATAATACATAGATATATTGTATCAGATACTCGTAAATATCTATCAGTACAGGCATTGCATATTACAGAAACATTTTGTGCATCGAACTAAACAAAATGCTAAATTCGGATGTAATCGAATATTTTAAATCCTCGCAATTCCACTTGTATTCCACATATTTTATTTGCCATTAATAGCATTTAAATACTATCGTAATTTTCTTTCATATATCCGGAATTTGCGTATCGAATAGATGGAAATTTGTTCCAACTGTGTAGTAAAACACCTTTTAGACTTTTTGTTGAGCTATCATTAAAATGGCGTCATTTAGTTTATGACAAAGAATACCAGTTTCTTCAAATAAAATTTTCACGTCATGACAAAAACAGAGTCCATCTTTCTTACTGAAGAAACAATAAATATTTTCATGTCGTCTACTTTGATGAGATATTCGAACATCATTGATATATGTTATATAACGATAACATTATAAAATAAATCATTGAAATCTTCAGATTTGATGAGACGTGGTATTTTTTTCCATGTTTAATGTTTAAAAAGTAAATATTTTCGATTTGTAATCGTCCTTTTCCATATACATTTATTTATACTTAAAACCAAAATATATTAAATAAAACCCATGCGCACAAAAAAAAATTGTTGGTCTGTGTTATAGGTCATAGACTCAATTAGATTTATAAATGTATTTTTCTTTCCGTCAGCGAAAATTATATTTAAACCATCCTCTAATGAGTTATAACATATCTCACATTAACTTAACCGAAGAGTCTGAATTTAATATACCAACCAGAAAACCGGAATTTATGGTACTAAGGATATGAGTAGACTAACTTCGCTAAACCATTAATATAATAAGGTTTGCTAAATTAAAGGAAATTATTATATGTAGTATTATAAAATTTGACATATTTTTAGCATTAAACTAAAGTAAATCAAATATTATACGTTCAGTTAATTTTGTTAAGATATCTTATTGACCAAATTACTCGTATACGATATAAGACCACCGTTTGAAAGTTTGAAAATTGTATATTAGATTTATGGGGTCTAAAGAATGTATGTACCCGCTTTTGTCTATTTTAGGCATTATAACATATTAATAACAGAAAAAGATGATCTCTGAGTTTCATGAAGATACCACACATACCATCACCAGTATATGTATGCGGGATAATGGCAACCGGATGTTTGAAAATACTGATGTTAGTTATAATATATGGGAGCTAAGGCAAACTTTCACCCAATTTTATCCTCTTTAGGCATAGAGGATAAACCGTTAGGAGAAAAACACGCTTAATCAGTTTTATTGAGATAACTCAAATATTGGCACCGACATTATGAGCAAGAAATCCATTTGATTCATTATAGTATCATACATTTTGATCAATATAAACCGTTGGAAATGAATAGGGAAGTCACTGTATCGTGCATATTGGGGCTAATGGAAAACCTGGGCTGATTGCATTAACTTTTGGCATTTTAAGTGTACTTGGAATCATGATTCAAAGTAATTTTATGAAAGGAACTCACACATAGAAATATCTCTAAATACAATACGAGACATACTTGCGAGATCTGACATCAAACACAGGAGTACTGTACCCCTTGAGCCGTGTTTGTCTACGAAAAGGACAAACATTTATTCAAGTATGAGTTAAGTACCCCCAAAAGGTGCATGCTTAGGGATGATTCTTTGCTCATGGACTTAAGGTTTTGAAGTACTTCACACAAAACCCCGTTAGAAAGACAAAAATGTAAAGAAGTGTTTACTGAAGTCAGCTGAAATATTTTACTGCAAAAATAACCATGATTGGATACTGCAAGAAGACAATGATCCGAAGCATAGGAACAGATTATGTACTAAACGGAAACAAGAAAACCATATTGTTTCTTTAGATTGGCCATCACACTCACCAGACACCAACTATATAGAGAATGTTTGGGCTTTAATGTGAAAAAAGATGTTCCCTGACTTTCGTTAATACACCTGCCGAATTGATCTATATTTTCGGTAAAAATAAGCCATAGGCGCAGAAAGACACATATTCGGTATCTAGGCACTTGAAAAGTTATAGTCCGATTTCGACTCTTTTTGAACATAAGATGGCGTAACTTAAATGCCTATGTGTCCAAAATGTGTCCGGTAACGTCGTTGACGTATAGGAAATAGGCGTAGTAGTTCGATTTCACCTATGTTCACGCTGTGTGAAATAAATTTACAAACCAAATTTGGTAGATATTGGTTGCGTAGTTTCAAAAAAGAGAATAAAGAACTTTTGGAAAAACTATTTCTCGACAAGTTTTGTTTGTGACATAGTCGCATTAAACCTATTAGAGGGTGGGGTTACGCCCTTTTATTAAATTTTAAATCACAGAAGTCCATTTGTACTTTCATACCGTGTACCAAATTCCATTGCTATATCTTAATTTGTGGCTGAGTTTTTATAACCCACTTTACTGTGGGCGTGGCAATAGTCCGATACCGCTCTTATTTTATACCAACCTACCATGGGTACCAAGGAATGTGTGTATCAGTTTATCCAGATATCGCTTGCATGGAAGGACGAACAGACAGTTACTCGGACTGTCCTTCCATATATATATACATATCTTCATTTATCTTGATTAGTTTTTATGTGATTAGGTGAATAAAAAGTATTTTACTCTCGGTTGCAACATGTTAAGAGAATATATGTACATAAAATTGCTGTTACAAACGAAGAGTACGTCGCAAAATATTGAAAGAACGATGTTCGCTTGTATTTTATTATATGATGGAGATTTCGATGAAACGTGCTAGCAAATGCTACTATTTCGATTCTTCATTGATTAACTCTCTAACACAATACTTCTTTGGCTTTCCTCAAAAGAAATTAGAAAGAAAGAAATCTGCAAAATTGTACACCAAGCATTTTCTATTGAAATTTAAATATAGTCTGATGGAGTAACACACACATAAAGAGGAATTCAGTATTTTGATATATTCGCTAGCCTTAAATTTGAGATTTTAAATTAGATAAATTTTTTGTTACTTGCGACGATCTTATAATTCAGTACTTTGTTAATGCATCGCTCACCAGTTCGATTTAATTCCAATTAAATTGTTTGGTTTTATAATTTTATTTCTTTATTTTTTTCTTGTCGGTTTTTAATACAAATAGGTTGTTTTTTCAATTTATTTAGCCGTAGGTGACCATATGTTTTCCGGCAAAATCCGGGACGGTTTTTTTAGTAATCGATTTTCATCAGTTCAGATTCATATTCAACGATCTCTGAAAGTTAAACGAATAGTATGTTTTGCTTCAACAGAAAAGTAAAACATAGTAAAACATTGAACCCAACATTTGTCAACGGATGTCTGTCCTTGCTTCATTCATTAATTCGTTTGTCACCTATATACCAAGGAATATAAGTGAATTATTCGAACAGCTTATGTGAAGTAGTGTCTGACGCTTTCAAAATATTATTTTCTGTGAGGAAAATAAACGTTTTCTCAATTTTTTCCCAATCGAGTTTATTAGTGAGTAGCACCCAACCAAAAAATTTTACATGAACAAACCGTTGAGTCCATACCCCAAGATATCGTACCAATCACCTGATTAACTTATTGAAGACAAATAAGAATGAGAAAACGAAAATCGAGGTGTAAAATTAAATATTTACTTCGAAATTGTTTCGCCTCTACTTCAAGGTCATGGTTTTCTTTCTTCAAGTTCTCTAATTCCGCTTTTACTTGCAACGGAAAGTAATTGTGTTGGTTGGATGTTTGCAAATTGTTCATTAAATGTTGCAAGTGCTTGAAAATTGCAACTGCTGGAATAACTTCGCCTTCAATTTTCTTTATTTTTTATTCGAAAGTCATGGCTTAAAATTAATAAAACAATAATTAAATAATTTTTTAATTTTGGAAAACTTTTAGTTTAGTTTTAGTTTAGCTTCGATAGTGGACTGTTGAAGAAATGGCGGATACTTCCGGCTTTTTTGAGAGGCGAACGAAGGTCGTTTTCATAGGTTGGAACATTCGAATGATTATCCCCAAAGCTTCTCTCAAGCCAATGAACCGAGTTTTGCAGCAACCAATCAATTGATCGTAACCGTCTGTAGAAATCTCTCAGGTTGACTTTAATGCTTCTGTGCGAATATTGTGGATGTAAAAAAGTGTGTAGATCTGAACAACAATGCATCGCATTGTGCACGATATACGCTGCACAAGCTACACCAACTATGTTCGATTTTAAAGAAAGGAGTCGGGTTTTCTGTAAATTAAACTTAAGGCATACCAATGCGTATGGTGTAGAAACATTGGTATTATCGCTTCACTTTTTGTTCTTGAACACGAAAATTATTTTATTTAGAAACAGGTTCAAAATATTTTGGTTGCGCATTCGTTGGATCTACAATAAAAAGTTTGAAAAAATTTGAATCGGACCATAACTACTGTTTTTTAAATGATTTTTTGATTAAAAAACCTGAAACTGTGATTCTTATTAATTGTTTGGTGCGCCCACACGCCTTCCATCGTCGATAGATTCAAATCTAGTTTCTCTCCGATGAAAAAATCTGATACTTGTATGATAGAAGTTTGAAGAGAAGATTTGCTGCCACTTTGTGCTTCTTTGTCTTAACATGATATTCAATATAATTGCCTCCGCTAGCAGCAACCGAAAAAGTTAAATTACATTTGTCGCAACGGACGTTGAAATCGTCATAAGTGACTCTCAAAAAAGGATATTTTTCCTTCCAATTATAGTTGAAAACACACTTTCGGTTCGACATTTCACAAAGTAATATTTATAAGTAAATAATTATGCTTCAAATTCACAAAATTATCTTATGTTTCACTTTGAACGTTGAATGAAAGTAATGAGCTGTCAGTGCAAGCACGTCTAAGCAGCTTGCTACTGCTGAGCCCATAGTAGGAGTCCCTTCTGAGAAAACAGTCGTACAAGAAGTGCTACCCTCTGACTGAAGGACCTGGTGG